AAAACCAGGGCCCTTCTTCCGCCACCCTACGTCCTGCATCATGGTGAAGCGAGGACACCCGCTATCGGCTGAAGAAATTTTTCGCAGATCGTGTATGGCGCCGGCCGAGCCGAGGTTTATTTATTGCCAAGAAGCGACCACACATTGCCTTGATCGTCTTGAACGATGATCGGCAAAGGATGGGACCAGCGCCATCTGAATAAGACGACCCACAACAATATTTGCAGTTTTCTCCTCCATATCATGCACCCTCTCCCCCCTTCTCTTCCCCGCCTCCCCACTCTCCTCCACCCCGCCGCCCTTCACAGTTCCTCAGCTATGTGGTAATTATTTCGAGTTTCTAAATCATATCCCCTCGCCCTTCCAAACCATATTTTAGGAAATCAATTTCCAACGTGCCTCACCCTGTCGGCCCGCTTGATGGGGAATTTTTGTCCAGACAACAAAAACGGATTTTGGACCACCAGCCAGTAACTCGTTCCAAGCGAGTTTACCAGATATTCTTCATTCATTTGCCCAGACTAATCTCAATCTCAAATTTGGGTTATTAAACCGAAAATCAGTCACATCAGCGACGGTTTACGAGCCGCGCACAAGTTACAAGAAATTTGACAACTGAGAACGAGGAGAAGCGCTTTTTCACGTGAAAAAAAAATTACTGGCGACGCGCACCGGGCAGGCCCATGCGACCATGCGTTTCTGCAGTATTTTGTGGTGTTGTAAGATCGCTTGGAGTCCCAGTAGTTAGAATCTATGGCATACTGGTTACTGAGATTCGGGGAATTAATTGTGCAACGACATGGTACTTGGTCAGGGAGCACCCCCTCAAAATCTCAGCTTTCTGTCTTTTCTGATCCTCGAGTTAGCAATTTTTTCACCAAAGATTTTCACGGGGCCGCACTTGAGAACCACGCACACCTGGGGACCGAATCTGAAATCTTTGGGTTCTATGTGGACGGAGAACATGACCGTAAAATTTCAGCTTTCTGGCTTTTCTGTTCGAGTTAGCGATTTTCCCGCCAAAATTTTCACGCGCTCGTACGCGGGGCCAAACTTCCGTAAGGGTTGGTGTCGCGGTTCCGGGGTGGCACTTGGCCGGGGAACCCACAGGCAAAATTTTAGCGCCGGAGCCTGCTTGGGTGCCAAGTTGAATTACCCGGATAGACGGCGCGCGCGCACGCACGCACACACACACACACACACACACACACACACACACACATACACACAGCGGGGTCATCACAATATGTATTTTCGCATTCGCATATACGCAACGACGCATAAAAAACACCACGGGCCTTCAAACGACCAACCACCCGATGCTTTGACAATCTTGAGCCATGGGTAGCAATTGACGGGGTGCTATGCAAACAAAGGCCTCCCAAAACAATGATATTTACAAATTGAAGAAGTTCAGAGTCCATAGTGTGTTAGGCGTTCGGTATGATTTTACCGCTGAAGCAGGTCGCTGAGGCTTTGACAAAATTGGGTGGGGTTATTTGGGGCGCCGACGCTTTGACGGTCCTTGAGTGCAAGAAATACCCGGGAACATTTACTTAATGGTTGACGAAAAAATTCAAAAAAATGAGAATTCAAAGAAATGGGCTGTACTGATGATTCCCACCCCTAACCACATCTCCTGCTATCTTTGTTTAAAGCTTAGGGATGGAACACAGGCATGCTTCCTTTTACGTACACCTCTGTACATGACCTTTCCACATGACATACGGTTTTCATACATATGTAATAATACAATCTTCTTTAACTTATTTTAATTTTCTCCCTTTTTTACAAACCTGTTTGCTGACTTTTGCTGGATGGTTTTTATTTTCCGACACCCATTTCATTGCAGATAATCGTAGCTCTTCGGACGGGCTGTTCATAGTCTCTGTTGATGGACTTCCTATTTTACCCCTCACTGAATTGGCCGTTGTTTCTAGTCCTGTTCGTAGGCTTTTTACAGCTTTTTTTATTGCTTATAAGGCCGTTACGGCCCGTACTGGCCTTCCTGCCTACTTAAATAATGCTTGCAGTTGTTTTGGTTTCCTTCGATCAGAGAAATAAAAGTTCTAAATATATTGCTGAAAATGTATCGCATATTTTCCAGGTAGAAGAATTATGGACAAGGAGAATGGCCAGGAAACAGAAGGAGAAGTTAATGCTGGTGGCTCGGAACAGGCGGGAAATGCTGAAATCTCATCCGATGTGAGTTTCGGGAATTTGTGCAAAATTATCTTGTCACACGTAGATCGCTTGAATTTTTAACAAGTCGTTACAGGATTGAAGCAGCAAAAACTGGGCCACGGCAGAACCTTCTGTTCGTCGTGGAAGTGTTGTTGGGGCAGCAGGGCTATGAGTTACTGAGTACTCGACCATACTTTTTTTTTACCGTTTTTATTGCGTTTTTGTGTACATGCAGATGCAAAAACGTATG